CCCCGTTTTATTTCAAACTCTTCTTTTGATAATATATTAAAATGCTTTTGCATTCGATCCACTCTTTGCATATCTACTTTCTTTTCAGCGAAAAGGCAAAGAGCCCACAGAACACATACCTGAGGTAATCCTGAATAATTTTACAACCCGACTCGGACACACTATTGGTCGCATGTTTGCTTCTCTCTTCCCACATGATCCTCAGTTCATTGGAAGACAAGTAGTTACATTTCACAACCAGCGGGACTACATCTTCTTCAGATTCCATAGGTAACGCTTTCCACAACAGGCAGTAATGAGAGAGGATGTTCTTGTACCTTACTCCTAATTATTTTTTTTTATATTCCCCTCTTCCCCCAAGATACATCTTCAAGAGTGAAAAGAAAGTAGGAATTCAAGAACTTGGGCCACGTTTTACATTAAAGCTGAGGTCTCTTCAAAAAGGAACCTTTGATTCCAAATTTGGAGAATATGAATGGATTCATAAGGTATGTCTAAGTAATGGTAATAGTCCTGCTTGGGAAGGGAGACTAAATCTGACATGGAATGTAACCACAGATCATAGCCTAAAGCAGTATAACTGCTGTTCTCGAAAGAGAAGTGTTTAACTGAAATATTTTAGTATACAGCAAGTCAGAAATAGCAAGGATGATGAATATCAATATAATGTGACTACTTATTTGCAGCATGTCTTGTCTTTTAACATATACAGAGATAAGCAAACATGCAAAACGCTCCCCTGCTATAAGCTCTAACTGGAAGCCTAGAAAACTTGACTAGAGCTACTTTTGTGCAAGGCGAGAGCAGGAATCATAGTGTAAAAATCATTAAGCCATCACTTCTTAACAGTGAATAGAACTTAACACTGACCTCTGCACATCTTCAAGTGTGTTCTCCCTCGACCTGCTGGCCACACCTCTCCTGACACAGCCCAGGATACGGCTGGCTTTCTGGGCTGCCAGCGCACACTGCCGGCTCATGCCCAGCTTTTCATTCACCAGTACCCACCCCCAAGTCTACATCTCTGTTCTAAATCACTGATCTCCACTTCTTCTCCCTTGTTAGTCTTGAAAAGCTGACTATACAGACTCGGCTACACTGTAACTGTGACAAATTTCAGTGCCTACTCTACCATAAACTGGAGGGGTCATCCTTGTTTGTACCCTGTTGCACGAATTCGTTGCTTAATAACTTTTCTTCTAAATTTCAGCGCCGAGAAATGGACACAAGTAGAAGAAAATTTCACTTATAAGGGACAGCTGTCTGCCAGCTGCTGTTGACCAGGAACAGAACTGCTTTGAACTACGGATTATCTCAGACTCCAAACGAATGATAGTGATACTGAAGAGTATCTGTCTGCAGAAAGAAACTGCAAACATTAAAACTTTCTACAGGAGCAGATCAAGTAGGATGCACCTTTCTTCCTACGTTTGTAGCTAAATCCAGTAAGACAAGGACAGTGACTGTTTCCAGTTTAGCAGGAAAAACTATGGCAGTGTCAGAACAGCCTGTAATTTAGCTATCACTGAAGGTTGCACAGATGACTGCTGCTGTGCTGTAAATTACACTTTGCAACATCAAAGAGTAAATATTTTGGTTAAGATATTCTCAAAATAAAGTATTTCTAGTTACACAGCTTTTTTTGCAGCTAAGCATAAATGTCTTCCGTTAAAGGTAAATACTTTAAACCTCTTTCTAACTTACTGTCAGGGAAGAGCATACTCTGTGATGGTAGCAGACCATTTCTGGAAAACTATCTAGAGAAGGCTGTATGCAGTCCAGGAAACCTGTGGTATTTTATTTCATTAACATCTTGCATAAAAGAGCCACGTTGCTGAAGTTACCTGCAGGAGTCAAACATATTATTTTTGTATCTCTTCTGTAAGTCTTATTTAGAAGAGGAATATACCCAAAGCAGTTGATATTCTTATATCTAAACAGAAATAAAACACTGATGGGAAGAATCTGTAAGGCCAGCTTGCAGGAAACACATGAAGCTATCTATCTTATCTAAAAAATGCTGCTCAGTTGCACATGAGGTCTCCAAGCAGGGTTTTTCCCACTAAAATCTTAAAAATACTTTTCAGCCTCACATCTATACTTGAGTTGGTAATGCTGCAGGTAATAACTACTCTTCTGCCTTAAGTCTGTACATTCACTGGCAGCTAACAATCTAAGTTTTCTCTGAATTACTTCCTTTCATATGCAGCAATAATGAAATGCTTTTTCATGCTTATTGAAGAGTTAAGGTGGCTCATGAACTAAGTGACCTACTAGGTTAGAATTACCCTTAAAGACCAAGAATAATTAAGTTACTCAGTCTTTAAATAAAGTCTATGATAGGGACAGCTGTATAGTTGAACTATAAATTTACAGCTAATTTTTTTTTCCTGTTCTGTTATGCTTCTAAGTGTATCAACCCCAGGCGAACTTGCAGGAGCACAGAATATCTGAAGACAGACTCCTGCATATGCTCTCCAGCTGCTGCAGAGTGATGCAGTAACTGGGAAGGTGTCAACATATCCAGAAGTTAAATCAAACTTGTTACAGTAATTTCAAGACCAGACTAAGTCAAGACACTTTTATTTTTTGTTTGGCATATAAAACCGATTCCCTTATGAAACAGAAGTATTGTAACTAGCATACAGTTCATTTGGAGAGGTAGATGGTAAGAGGTTTGATGACAGTAGCAGTTTTACAGTTAGATTTGGCACGTTAAAGCTAAGCTTTTGTACAGACTTCAAACCAGGCCACTCCTTGAGGCACCCTGCCCCTACACACCATCAGCAGCTAGGAAAAGATGCTAGAAGATCTGAAAAACAAAACCAAAACAGAGTTAGAAAAGTATCAATGCTAACTGAAGCAACTCTGTCTAAGAACATGTACCATCAGACTATACCATGGACAGCTACTGAGGGAAAAGAAAGCTCTTTTTCCACAGCTGTTTTATAAAACTTACTTTATTTTATAAACTTTTAAAACTGTGAACTTATCCCCCAGGGTACAGGAAGATAATCAAAGCTGTTACAGAAGAAGTGAAGCTTAGTGTCTCCTGGAAGCCAAACTGCTAAGCTGGAGGACAGAAAAAGTTTGTTCCCAGTCACTTGGTGCCTGCAGAAACACCAGGCATCCACCCCTGTGAAGGAGGGGGAGTCTGTCAGCGCAGAGGTGGTGCGGACCGAGCAGACGCGAACTCTATTGGCTCATTGTGTAAACACCAGAATTGCAACTAAGAAACTGCCTATTTTGAGGAAGTGCTTGCAAGAGACACAGTGAAAGAAAGATTTTTTCATATAGGTGGTGTAACTAAGGCTGTTCTAATGACTTCTGCCTGTAACAGCAGCAGAAACAAGTGCTCCGTTCCAAGATCAGAAAGGGAAGGGCTGTAATTGAGAAAGAAAACACCAAGCCTTTTATGCCCTGTGTATGCACATGTGTGTGCAACGGAGGAAACGTTATTTCCTGACATCCACACCCAGGAATCAGTAGACCTTAGCAAAGCTCAGTGGGGAACTGTGTCACTGATTAAAGTACAGTTTATTTGCCTTTTTATAGGTTATCAGTCTGATACTTACAGATGATCTGATTTGATCCTTAAACTACTGCTTAAAGCTGAAGCTACAGTAGTGTGAACACAAGTCAGTAACCAAGAGTAGTATCTTTTAAATAAAAATAATTCATAAGATCACAACAGAAATAACTTCAAAAGCTACCAGAACTTTAAAGAACATTGCAGCTAAACTGCTGTAATTGACTGCTCAAAACAATGGGGGAAGCGGTTTTGTTTGTTAAATAGTTAAGCATCAACCTCTGTACTGTTACTACTCTGGTCTTTAATAGCGTGAGGCACCTTGTTTGTACACAATCTTTTTGGAAGCTTTCTACAGTCTGCGTGAGGGAAGAACAATTTTAAAAACTCAGTCTGACTATGGTCACCCTTTTATCCAGCTGACTAAACAACACAAATCTAGCAAACTGCAATGCTGTGGGTGATGCAAGTCAGCTACAAAACCGGAATTCTTCAGGGTTAAGAGTTGCTATGAGATTTGTGCAGCTGTGAACTGTGGTTAACTGCATTATCAGGTGATTCGAAACGACACAGGCTGTCACCCCAACAGATCCAAGTCAAGGAGCAGTGGGGAAGGGGGACACGGTAAAATGATCATGCATTTACTGTGGGCCAAGTATCAAATTGTTGTGACTCAAGAGTCTTGGTGAGACTACTGTGGATCTAAAACTCACCTTTTAAACTGGTTAGTCTAAGATCTAATCACCAGAATTTTCAAGGAATGCCAGATTAGTCTTCCTAGTGATAGCAGTAGTGCTGTAATAAACCTCCATACGTTTGGAATGAAAATCCAAATGTGAGCTGTTGAATGGTTATTTCAACAGCTGCCCATGCAGTAGCTTATCTGAGTGCAGTATGGGCCTTGACAAAATTCCTGGACCACATACTTTTTAATTTTGGCTTAGTGGGCGTGTCCTATAGGGAACAGTGCTCTTCTCAGAGGTCACCACTAACCTATCTTTGTAAGTGCTCTCTAAAAGTTTAAGAACTGAAGTCTGTTCTATCTGCCACAATCAGGATTCACACCTGTGCTGTCAGGCGAGTAATCCTATGTGAAGAAATGGAAATAATACCCTTCCATGGAAGGAAGATAGAGCAAAATTACTGTACAGCCAGGTTAGTCCAAATAGTAGCTCGGTAGCAGCTGCCCCACTACTACTGTGCTGTAGCAAAGCAGCCACTTGAAGCTCTCCAACAGCGAAATGCTACTCATAAACAGTGAATATCCAGCACAGACCTACCACCAGAAGGGGGAAGGAGGAGGGCCCAAATGGGGATCTAGACCAACGCCAGCTGCAGAGGTTGGATGCCTCTTTGATACACTTTTAATACAGGCAGTCTCATTTAAAACCAGCTATTTTTAATCACAGGAGGGGTTATGAATCATAACTCAAGAACTTACCACTGAAAGATATCGAAGTAGTTCACATAATTACAAAAATGAACAAACTTTCTGGGGTCTGAATGGATTTGTACTCGATGATACTCCTGTCAGCAGGGGATCGTGCGGTGCGTTCTGCAGGCAGAACTGCTTCAGGTCTGCTGCAGCCTGAGACACCTAGTCAGAGGGAGAGTCGCCATTAGAATTCACTGATCACTCTTCACCCAGGTATAAAGAATACTGGTAAAAGATTCTGCAATACAGCCTACGTAGACAGTATACAGCAGTTTCGTCGTAATTTTTTGGTTTCTTAAAAGACAAGAAGTTGTGCAATAGTAAAGTAAGAATTAATTTGGAAAATTTTCATGTTAAACTTCTAAGCCTGAAGGGTGGGAGATGAGCAACATCTTGGAGATGGCTTTGTTAAGACAGATGAAGATCCTCGTTCAAGCCTAAACTGTTTAAAAATGCAGCCTATAGTTTAAGATGCTGAACTCGACTGAAGTGGCACTTTATCTTCCCTTGGGAAGCCATCCTTAGGATGGGATAGTGTGCAGGGTGTTGGCAGGCGGTACCTGCCTGAAAACCGAACAGTGAAACAATCCTTTGCCTTGCTCTTCTCTGCTGTAACTGAACTCCTCACGCCAGGAGGATGGAAGTTTCAGGACGCAGCACCTTCGCTGCCATCTTGTCTCCGCCGCCTGCCCGCGCTCCCCCGGCGGGGCCCGG